AATGTAAAGAATTTAAATATTTTATATTATCTTTATAATTAAGTTTTCCATTGAATTTCTCTGCGTTATGAACCAAACAAAATTTCCACGTAAATCAGTTGAGTGAAAGCATATTAATCAAATTATTTTCTATGGTATTTCTAAGCCTCGGCAAATTCCATTTAATATATACTATATTCGCATAATATAGCAAATGTAATATGTGAATGTTTTAGAAAGTTACTTTTAGAAATATTTACGTTTTAATTTAGCTGAATTTCGAATCTCATTTAACTCATTTGCTGCCTAAATGAATAGACGAAATATTTTGCGCAAATACCTCGAAAGGCTTTTGACAATTATTTACACTGACAGGGGCCAACAAATTTGTAGCCACGAACCAATACAAACACTGAACCAAAAACTAACCCATGTGTAGAAAGTTGCCAAAGTTTACACACACTCTGTGTGAGTTGGCGAGTGTGTGTGTGGGTGTGTGTGTGTGTGTGTATTTACTTATTTAATGGAACATTTCCCTGGGGGGCAACTTTGGGAAATTGTTATTTATGTGTGTTACTCAACCACAATATCTAAAGAAGTGTAAAATATTTTACACTAATTGCATGCAGTGGTTAAAAAAAGACAACGGGGTTTCTCGACTGCGAAATACTCATTCAGTTTTGAATTTAAAAAATAGATGGAAAATATATTGTCTTATGAGATATTCCCAAGGTTTATAGCGGCAGGATATCCAATTTATCAACTTTCAATTCGGTTTACGGAAGACCTCAATTGTAGCTCATATATTTCAATTTAGAGATAATACTTATGAAATCATCGTAGCTACTTTTTTTTCTGTGTCACACCCACAAACAGGCGTAAATATAACTATATTATATGCACATGCATATATCGTATGACAATATATTTCTAAAAATTTACGACCCTAGCTAACGTTCAGTCACAGAAATTTCCAATAAGCCTTGCTCAAAACCTTTGGGAACTTTCAACTTTAATCTTTTATCTCTGACAAGCGCCAAACTAATATACCCTTTGTCCTCCCTACCGACCGAGCTTAACAAGTTGGGCTCCCGAAAAATACATTTGGCCACACAATTCAGAGGGCGTATGTCAGCGCCAACTAAACGCAGGGCATTCCATTTTGCTGGCCAAGTTCGGCGAGTTCGCTTTCAAAATTACGCGCAAACACGCCAACACAATTTCTGATACAATGAAACACTCCGAGCTGGCGAGCAGTTGGGGGCAGTCTGAGGAAAGCGGAGCGGAGCGAGGAAGGGGGTGTCAGAGTAGAGCTCTGACATTTTGCCAGTTAATTTTCATGAGCAATAAATTAACAATTTAATTTACTGCCGCCCGGCAACTGGCGCAACGCTTTGCATGCCAAGCGAAGCTCAAGAGCAGAATGTGTGTTTGTTCATGTTTCCCAAATGTAATTAAATTAAATTTTGATTTAAACGTATTTGTTTTCGGAACAAATCACATGCATTGCCAACATAAATCAGCAGCATATTGTGAGTATTTATTAGAAATAAACAGCAGAGTAAGTCTGGCTGAGTTTTGAAGTAATATAATCCAGGAGAGACAATTGACTTAGGGTATCTTTTGTAATGAATATGTAATGAAAATAAAAGCATATATATATATACATATATGACAGTTTGAGGTATAATGCAATCCTATAACCTTTTTTACTAAACGAACTGATGCTCCCTGACGAACAGTTCTATTCAATAAATTGTTTTTCGATTAGTTTACCCTAAGTAATCACAGATATAGCTATTGCTACTTATCAATTTTACCCTCGCTATACTACCTACTACTTCCTACTAATTTGACTTCTAGTTTTGTTACTTATCCTTTAACTTCTTCTTTTACTACTAGTAGTAAGATTGCTAGCAGTAAAAATACCTTTTCTTTTTGTTTTTGTTATTCTCAATTCTACTACTTTTTTCATACCAATGCTGCTCCTTTTTCGACAACTACTTTCACTCTACATCAACTTCTAGTTTTCTACTTTGAATAATACTATATACTAATAATAATTAATAACACGAATACTACATCTTTTACTAAAGGTTTTACAACTTTTGACAGCCAAGCCTTTTGCTAGCTCTTTGCACTTATTCTACGACTAAAATACTTTTACTATAAAAATTTCAACTACCATGAAATCACAGACATCTAATGGGCGTTCCCTAAGAGCACATTATTTGCATGGATTTCGATAAACCGACTTTCAAAAAAAACTTTTTAACAGGCATCAGCCCTTGTGTACTTTGCCTGAGTATGTGTTGATGAAGAGCTTTGCTCGGGTGAAATACGTCCTTCACCTATCTCAGTTCAACCTGATGCGCCCAATATTCTGGCCCGAATGAAGCACATTTGTTAGTAGCTGCTGCCAGAAAATCGTTTTGCAAGCCGAAATTAATTAGGCCACTTTGTGTGGGATGGGCGTGGGCCAAGGCAAGCCTTAGCTCTGTGAAGAGTTACGCTAAAAGCCTGACCATGCCATCGAAGCGTGCGACTGACAGACATTGAAAACTTCTGCTGGCTGAAACTGTCAGCATTTCGGCAGTATTACGGACCCAGAACATCAAAGCAAAACATTTGATGTGAGCTGCGCTAATTAATTTGCAGCTAATAGCAAATGGAATTGCAGCGCAAACTGTTAACACTCGCGCTGCAAGAGTCCAGCCCAAAAACCCCAGCGCGAACTTTTGTTTGACTTTTGCTATGATAACGCCAATTAGTGACTGGCAATGCCAAATTCACGTACTTGTCCTCCGTAAAATACACGCGTTTCACTGCAACAAAGTTGGACGCACTGTGCCAATTTGCCACGTCCGCAAGTTGAATGAAGCGGAACAGCGACAGAGTGGGAGGCGGCTGGAGAGGGGAGAGGGAAGTCACCCCAGTCGAAGAACTTTGCATGCTGTGTGCGTAAAAAGGGCAAAAGTTTGCCGTATAACTTCAGGTGGAAACTGTAACTTAAATGGATTTACCCCATGCTAGGTCGGATTTAATGAAGCCACAAATGGAATTATTATTGCTTTGCACTGCGGTGCATTATTGATTCCGCAGAAAGGTCACAAAAATAAATGCAACTTTCCAGCAGTTCAATTAAATTCCCAACTATAAATAAAACTCAATTTATTCCCCACAAGCATAAGCATGTGTACTCCCCATGTTCATATTCAGACTGATTCGATATACCAGCAATTCAATTATGTCTTTCGAATATGCTTGCGATATCTTATCGAGCCAGGGGCGGACAAACGTCGTCTGGTAGCTGCGAGAGTTGCTTCAGGATAATGGTTGAATGTTGGCAAATAGGAGAATATAAAAATGTATATGTAAATATGGCTTGATAATAAAATTAATAATAATAAAGGATTCGTGTTTGTTAAACAATTTATTTTTAATAAAATATATAGCAATAAATTTAATAAACT